AAGATGACCAATTGTAGTTAATCAAGATTTTTTTACAACAAAGTAGAATTGATTTAATAGTAAAATATCCTTTAACACTTTATTTGTGGACAATAAAATAACTGTTAAAGAATTCTTATCTCCTAACTTTATATGCCGTGTAAATAGGTGTGAAACTGTCAATATTGAACCACGGGTTAAGAATCCTATACTAATTAAATGTTAAGAATCCTATATCAATATTGTTTTACCGTTCGAATTTTTCTCCCACCTCTAGATGCTTAATTCATGTGATCTACTAAGAATTTTGTGGGTCTTTAATATTTTTTGAATCGTAGGGTTGTCGGATTTGATCTTCGGGTTAACGTATTGTGTTCCCTAACCCAAAGTTACAATCTTTTGCTTTTCCTTTCTTTATTAAGTAAAAAATTAATATATTTTGTTTAATATTAAATAAACATATTCTGCATAAAATTAATCTATTTTTGCTTAATATTAAATAAACATATTCTGCACTTATGTATATGTATATTACCATATTATTTTTATTTATTTAAGATATATATTTTCTACTTAATAATAGTAAATAATATCGATAATTTTATATGATATAAGTAAAATTCAATATGAGTTGGCATTTTTATTTAATATACGGGTGTTTAATTATTATGACTAAAAAAATATAATTTGACAATTTAATTAAAATCTAAATTAATGTTTTATATAAAATTAATTTATTTTATTTTAAATAAAATAATATTTTTTACATATGCTTCCTAATTGAACACCCGTGTATTTACACGGGTGTCGTACTAGTTCCTATTATTCATAAAAGATTTCTTGCCATTCAAAATTGATTCTATGCTTTAATTACATAGATTTTTTTACTTTGAATTTAAAAAATGACCGCTAGTTCAGAAAAAATTAAAAAAAAAATTACCAATAAAAGTAAAACCGAAATATTTTGGCAGAATTTTAGTTACCATTACATGTAAATGTCAAATATTTTTATATTTATATAGATATAGATGTTATTGACATGGTTTTGAAAGGGGATTAATTATTTGATGACTGATTTTATATGCCGCGAAGCTGAAGTGATCCCAATTAATTAGTACAACTAGTACGCCATCGGCGCGTTGCGCGGCCTGGTGTTAAAAAGTAATGTGATGAATTATAATTTAAGTAAATAAAAAATATTCAATTAAAATGTATGAAAAAATTTGTATTTATTATATTTTGAATGTTTTCTTAAATATAACATTATTAGTGGATGAATTGTATGCATTATCAATATTGTGATCATAAATAATAATCACTAGACATTAGTGATCCGTGACTCTAAACATAAATATATAACTGATTGTGACTAAAAATACAATGTATTTTTTCTTTCAGAGAAAATTTAAATTTAGTGAATTTAACGATAAAACATTGGTTATATTCGGCGATAAAAAAATATTTGTTACATTAATGACACTTCTTGAAATTTTTTTTCTAAAATGTGTTGATAATAACATAATTTTCATAATTTATTAATAAATAAATACATTATTACTATTATATAGATAAATTGATATAGAATAACTGAAATAAATATGTACTAATATAAGCAAATTAAAACAAAAAATATGAACTAAATACTTAAGAAAAAAGTACAAAAATGACCCAATTTCGAACCACATGCATTTAGTTTCAAATTAGATCTATATATTTTTTTTACTTCTATTAATTGAAAAAATAAATTTCAATAATTCATTTATTTGCAAAATAAGTCTGATGTTGATCAGAATGACATGTAAGATATATCAATTTTTGTAAGTTATAGATAGGCATAACAAAAGAGTAATTTTATGTTGATAAAACTAACATTTATGATAAATTATAAGAAAACGTAGATTATTGCAAGGATTTAGTAGCCATAATACGTGCTCTTCATTTTCTTAAGAGAAAATTATGTATTATGATAACAAAATTTTAACAATAATTAATACATTATGCTATTTCATTCATAAAAAAAATGTGGATCAATAAACAAACTAAAATGAGGGCGATCACTTTAGTCACAAACTTTTAAATGACCTCAAACTTATACATATATGAAACAAATGATATCAACTAAAAAAAATAAATTAAACAAACTATTTATTTTGGACTCAGTTATTCAATCAATTAGGACCAAAATTATATAAAATGTCTCAGATAAAACACAATTTCCACATAAAAATTGAAAAAAAAAATATATATATATATATATATATATATATTTTTTTTTTCAATTATTATGTGGAAATTGTGTTTTATCTGAGACATTTTATATAATTTTGGTCCTAATTGATTGAATAACTGAGTCCAAAATAAATAGTTTGTTTAATTTATTTTTTTAGATCAACTACCGACACTTATTTTTCATTGAATTTATGGGAATATAGTTTAGCTTATTTTATTATAAATATAAATTGATAGCACTTGCAAAAACAATAATAAAAATTATTTAAATGGCAATATATAGCTCTAAAATAATAAAAAAAAAAAACTAACACTTGTGATATATGATTAAAAAAATAGTTGCTGCATTTGTGGTATGTCGTGCAGAACTTTATTTGTCGTAATGTTTTGATAAAGATTATATATTTTCATCATTTTTATGAAGAATATCGATATGCAAATAAAAAATTAAAAACAAATTGACCCATTATGCATTTTTTTTCTCATGAATTCTAGTTTTATATTTATAGACTAATAAAGAAATTAAAACAATGTCAAAACTTTTTTGCACATATGTTTAGATGGCCTCTTCAAGATTTTGACAAAAAATAAAATAAATTATACCAAATAATAATTAAAAAAATTAAACAAACATTATATTTTTGGGTCAAATAACACCTCCAATCAAACTAAAACCAATATGAATTTCTCTTTAGTCTTCACACTTAAAGACATGAGTTGCACCTCTTTGAAATCATGTCACTCTCTTTATTTGTATGCTATCATTTATATATTTTTTATTTTTTATTTTATTTATATATATATATGTATTTTTTACCCATAAGGACAATCAAATTTGATGTCATGTTCGATTCTAAGTTGTTGTTTTTTTCTTTTGCTTATTTTTTCATATTCATGGTTGATATTGATAAGAGAAACCTAAATTCAAATATATTTTTTTGTCCAAGTAAATGTTATTCACTATTTTCGAGATATATTTCATATGGATATGCAAGTTCATCCCCAATACCCATCGATGATACTTTTTATTTTGTTTTTTTAGGTTATCCCTTTTAGTTGAGTAATACATCATTTATGACAAATATAACTTTATTTTTTATATATCTCTCTCTATTTGTAATTTTTTATGTTTCAAACAAATTTATTAGATTATATATATAGCTTTAGTTTCAAACATTTTTTTAACGAAAAATATAACTTTAGTTTCAATGACATGGGTATTGAAGTGCAAGTTTCAATGCATAATTATATATAAACTTAATTATTTTGCTTAAATAAATAATTATACTCGTTGCCCGACGTCTTCTTGAGTGTTTGTTGCGTTTTCATAATATATCATACTTATAAATTGACAAAATTATTTCTAGATAAAAATGTAGTTTTGCACTTTTTTTTTTCCTCCAAGGTACTTAACTTATATGCATGTGTGTGTGTGTGCGCGCTTATGTGTGCGCGTGTATATATTATGACATATGCAATGTACATTTTGAGGCATTGTTAAAAAAATATAAATTTTCTCATATCCAAATAGTTACGTTACTCATAAAGGAAGAAAATGAAACAATAATTAATGAAAAATTAAAATGCAAATTCACACTATGTAATTATTTATACAATATGTACAACAAATAATTATATTTTGTCGTTTGAATTATTTACATAGGAATTAGCAAATTACTTTTCAAACTTTTGTTTCATAAGAATTAGAGTGAAAGTTCCAATGCATAACTATTTATTTGTAGCAAATGATTATAATTATATTTAATGCATGATACATAAAAGTTGACAAAATTTCTTTCTAGGTAATTAATGAATGTTTGGAGAAAAAAATAAATATCTCCAAGCTATTTCACTTATATATATAAATTATCTCCAAGCTATTACACAAATTATCTCCAAGCTATTACACAAATTATCTACAAAATTTAATGTGTATTCACCATGTACTTATAAATATCAATTACTATATAACCCTTATGAATGTACAATTACAATTTAACATTTCCAGTGTGACAAATTAATTATCCCTTCTTATTTCCAATAAGCATAGGCAATTACCCAAAATTACAATCAATACACAATTTAATTAATAACTACAATACATATTCCAAGTTTAGACAATATCTAAAATAACGTGAAAATAAATTATCCTAGAATTAATACAATAATTAATATAAGTTTGAGTGGGAATTTGGCAGCTGCTCCGCTTTAGTATATATATAGATTGGAAGAAAGGTGATGAAAAAAAGAAGTTCTAAACTATATATCTTATAGAAGAATGACTTATTTTTTTTAGATTGTGAATAAATATAATTGTATGTAGTGGGATACAAAATTGTTCAGTAATGAGTATAGATAATTGATGATTGAAATACGTAATTGAATGAATAGTATTTTAAAAAAAATTATATTCAATTACAGTTCCAAGAATAACACGTCCACAAGACGAAAATTAAAATAATTAGTATAAAATTGCGTCTAGTATAAAATTACAAGCGTTTACGCTCATAACTAACTCGTTGTCACATGTCAATTTCATTTCAAGATCCAAACGCACGAGTTTGATGGACAAAAATAAAAATAAGTACAACCAGTTCGTTTAGGTTTGGCACCCAATGGAAGTAATCTCATCATAAAAACAATTGGACAACTATTTGGTGGGTAGGAGTTGAACGAATAAAGTCAATTCCATTACATATTGATTATTGTATTGACAATGTAACATAAACACATTTAAGTACTTCACATACACAGAACAATATCAATTCAATTTATCATTTATAAAATTACTATGGGTACAAATAATTTGGAGACAAACAATCCGAAGCCATACAATCAATCACTTTCTTCTTATTATTATTATTATTTTCAACTGATAATTGAAAAAAATGCAAAAATTACTATGTAGGCCAATTCCCTTTGGGCTCAAGTACGTGGGCTCAGTCTGGGCTCAACCATCAACATTTCACAATAATTGTTTCCCTTACTCCCTTGTAGTATATAATTTCCGGGCGGGCTGCTTTGAATAAAATAGTAAGCACGCCGCGGCCTATCAACAGTTAAAGCCCATTTATGGAAGGCCCATGTCCATTCTAAAACTGGACCCTGGTCGCGTAGGTCCGTCCAAAAGCCCAATTGGAAGGCACCGCATTCATGAAAGTCTTGGTGATACCATCAGAGGTAGTGACGATGAAGGACAGCGATTGGCCGTTGAGATAGGCATTAGACTGCCAATTAACACCCCAATTTCTGGACATAGACATCCAACCCGTTTTCGACCCCTTTATCCGAACCGATTGGACCGACCCGGCATTCGCGACATTGGTAATCAAGACAAGCTCGAAATTATTCCGACCGTTGATGGTGAATCTAACCCCACCACGCTTCACACAAGGAACCCTACATCAATTAAAAAAAAAAAAAAAAATCTATTTTAATATAGACATATATAGATATGGCCTTGTAGCCTATCGTACGAAAATTGAAAACAATTTAGTTAACACTATATATTGGTGGACAGTCCAATAAGAAACTGACACATCACTTTTCTTTGACTACATATCAAGAATAAATGATCTAATGGCTTCAATTGATTTGAGAGAACCATTCCTTCACGGGACTATAGCATTTTCCTATATTAGTAACTACCTAATTTATATATTAAATTTGAATGTGTAAGAGAGAAAAAAAGTTACCTCTGATAAAGGATTGGCACGATACCGCCCCTATAGATGGCGATCTTTTCCCAAGCGGGCTGAGCCATGTCGAAATGCTGGCGCGGAGGATTGCACCAGCCTCCATTGTTGCTTGGGAGATCGTAATTTGGGGGGCAGAAATTTGTGGCGGTGACTGTGACTGACACACCCCTCTTGCACCACTGAGGGTCGGCCCTGTAATCGCATATCATCTTATAGCACTGCCCGCAAGCTGCCCCATCGTTAAATAACGCCGTGCTCAGTGCTGCAGTCCGGGTCCCGTACCCACCCGAGTACAAGTTGCCATACCCACAAGCACCACCTAAAGAAAAAAATAAATAAATAATAAATATAAGAGGAAAATTCTGAGTGGTAATATTAGTAAATAGTCTTATTATTTTGTAAAATATGAAATATAACCATTTTTTGTAAAAGTATAAAATAATAGTCATTTTGTCGTGTATAATGACACAATTAATCTTACTATCAAAACGTGTTTCTAGAAATATAAGATTCAAGAATCGATTTATGTGTTCTATAAAACACTTTTGGAATCTGAGATTCCTAGAAATGGTTTTTGATAGTAAGAGTAATTGTGTCATTATACATGACAAAATGGTTATTTAATTTTCATATCTTCACAACAATTTGCTATATTTCTTTTTTGTATGACTATAAAACCAGTTCATGAAAATTCAATCCTTCTATCGAACTAATCTCGTTAATTTCAAATATTAAAATTTCGCGTGCGTACCCATTGTTCCGGAAGCATCACTGCCGCCGTAGAAGGTTGCATGAGCTTGGGTCCATCTAGAAGCCGTGAAGGCATTGGCATTGGCATTCATTGAGAAGCTATACAGTGCAAGTACAAGTGCTAGAAACAAAATGCTGCTATTTTTCTCCATTCTTTTTTTTTTTCCTTAATTATTTATTTCTTTTTGCGTCTTTTTTGTGTTTTTGGGTGCGAATGTCGGGGAAGAAAGAAAGAAAGAAGGAAAGTGATTGAGTGAGATGAAGAAGATATGGGATTTTTGTTGCCTAGATACTATGACTTAAGTGGGAGTTATATAGCAGTAGGGAATTTAAGCTACCAAACAACCTCACATGTATATGACCTGTCTAGTAGCCCAAAAAAGATTAACAGAAATGACAAATCAATAATTAATTAACATTAATAGTTTTGAATAATGTGTTAATAAAGTAAACTCTTTATTCCCTTTACACAAATAATTAACATTAGAATTAAGAATATGATTCGTTAATAAAAAAAACAAAATTCATATATCAACCGGTTTTGACCTGTCATACCTTTTTATATGTATATTTAACAAAACTACATTCTTATATTATGCAATAATATTTTTTAAAATTTATTTGTTAGTGGTATCACATTTTCACTTAAGAGTATATTTACATATATATATATATATATATATATATATATATATATGTACGAAAATATAAATGTCTAACAAAATCGTAGATTAATATTCATTTATTCACGCATTATATTCCTGTTTCTCACAACCCCACATGGAATTCCTCAGCAGCAGAACCGTACATGGATCGAGTTATTATTTAAGTCTCACATTCTTTAAATGCAATGGTTGTTGCAAAATTGCAATAAGAAGTGAAATGCATTAAATTATTCAATGGCCTTTTGGATATAATTTTTATTTTTTTTTTATTGAGCTAATTCGTATTAACCTGATGTGACCACTCATGTGCTTTAAATTTGAACCTACATGTTGTACCTCAATGTTACTCATGTGTGGTGCACATGCCTTTTGATGACATTACATTGTGAGAGCCTGTTTATTTTGTCTGGCTGATGTAATTTAATTTATGCATGTAAATTAAAACTATGGACCATTTAAATTGAATTTTTTGTACATGCACAAAACGCGCCGTTAAATAATATAGCTCAATTACTTGTCGGTGCAAGAAGATTGACACAAATTAATAATAGAGTGAATCGAGGAAAAATGTTTATTAGTTCATTCCATGTAATGATTGTTTATTTTGTCGAAGTACGTACGCCAAGAGATTTTTTGTGACTTGGTTAAGGAGAAGCTATATAGGTCATATTTGATGGCGTAAATGTAATCTCTGTCATTTCGTTCATAATTAGGTAATATTTTTGTGAAATATAGGTAACAACATAAATAATAAATAAATGAACAAGAGTTGATATCAATCCAATTGCCTTAGAAAAATTAGGAAGTTGATCAATAAAAGCTAGTTTTGGCTTTTGTTGCATATATGTGTATTATAGAATAGGTACTTTATTAAATAGTAATTTTGTAGAACGATATATAACACTATTTATGCTCTATATAATTATATTTATGGGTTGTTACGAAAATAAATTTTTGTTCCGATGAATAATTTTCCCGAAAATTATAGTCTACCAATCAAAAACCAAACCGGCTACAATTTGCAATAAACTATTGAAACCGATCAGGAACTCAGTTTTTCTTTTTTTTTGTTCTTTTTTTTTTCTAGTTTGGCTGTTTAATTGCTTACAAAACTTAATTATTTTATTAATGTACTTTATGTTGATCATATATATTTGTCCATTCAATATCTATATATATATAAAGAGGAGCAACATAGCATTTAATTATATTATCATGCATTAAATTTTATTATCCCTCCAAAATTTTCAACATTCAATTTCATTTTTAAGTTATAAAATAACTTGCTTGAATGTCATAAATTATGAGAATAAATCAATCAAGGGAGTTACAAAATTGTACTCAAATTTTAAGTCAGACTCACTGATGAAAATGGCCGATGTATTAGCATAAAGAAAATTATTGTAACGGCTCTTCCATAGCAATTACTTGATCAAAATCAATTTTGAAAATTATTTTCATAATTCATATTTTTTCATGAATTAAATTATGATTTTTTTTTTTATATTGTTATCTTGTTAAAGTATTTTTCTCTGTGCAAATGCACAGGTTGATTACTAGTTAGAATGTAAAAATATATACAGAATATGTCATTTAATGTACTTACTTTAGAATATAAACATTATAAAAAATAAATAAATCGTAAAAAAGATTACCATTATCCATTGATCTCTTACAAGAGATTACTATGAGACAGATTGAACTGGTGATTTTATTATTTTTGGACATTAATTAGCTTCACATCGGACATTTGATATTTTGCGCTCCACGAGAAAAGGCGTCATGAGCGGTGATATTTATGACTGCTTATATTCTTTTACTAAAATTCAATTGTACGAGAACCGTACATACATTTAACTTTCACATTATTACCCACAGTTTTAGTTGACACTCAATGGCTTCACTCTTCTTGGCCTCGTTTAAAATCATTATATAGTATTTGTTTTACAACTGTTGCATTATTTCTGGGGACGTGTTGAAAAGAAGGAAATTGTACCAAATTAGGATCCATAAGTATAAAATATATCCATTTCTTTGACCTTCTACAACCACACCATGTGATGATGCCACAATTTATGCAAAACCCATGAGAGGGATGACTGATTTTAATTAGTTACAAATNGATTAAAGAAAATTGCAACTGGCTAACAAATTCAAACATTGTTATTAATTTATTTGCAATCACTACTAGTTAATTAATCTGTCATGCAGAATTGGATTACAATCATTGGAATGCCAAGAATAAGTTTGTTGGAAAAAAAAAATATTGATGAAATAAAGGGAATAATAAGTTTATAGTTATCATATAAGTGCTCAAGTTTCAACGCGCCGACGCCCCAAAGCTAGGTACGCTATCAGATATATATCATAATTGGATTTCAAGTGATCATAAGCCTACGTATATTAATTTTGCGTAGCTAATGAAAGAATATTCTAACAGCATAATTTGCAGCTGAACATGAATACGGGAGTTGGGAATGATTGAGAAGTTATAAATAAGAGTTAGCATATTTCTTATAGAAGAATAAATATAAAAACAAGGAGTTTTATAGTTTTTGGTGCCGAAATATTAATCAACTATCATTTCAAGATTTGAAAGATAAATTCTTTCTATTTAGGAAGTTGTATCCAATTGAGATTCGGAAGAATTTTTCAAGAGCTTGTAAAATAAGTGACTTTGGTGGAATTTGTAAAACTTTGACTTTGGTTGACATTTCATATTTTTTAGAGAATTCTTATAAACGACTTCTTAAAACTTTCACCATGTGCTTTTTGAGGTTTATTAAGACATATATATAGTTATAATATAACTATTATATTTATATAAAATGTTCATATATGTTGCATATATAAGGCTAAATTGCAAAGTATAACTAGTAATTTTTATGGGTTAATTTTAGCCACCATCTTTTCTATTTGACAATAGTAGCCAAAAGGTTTTAAAATTTCGGTCTTTTTACCCAATTTCGGTCAAACTCGTCGGAATTCCAACTGATTTCACAAACTATGTTGATGCGGACTGCATGTGACCTACTTAATTCACCTCAGCACAACAGCCTATAAATAAATCTTCCAAGCATTTTTATCATCTTCTTCCAAGGAAAAATAGGAGAAAAATCTTGCAAATTAAGGAAAAAAACCCTAAATTAACATTTAAATTTCTAATTTACCACAGGTCGTGCAGTGGTCAATTGAATGTCGTTGTGTACCATAGATGTCAATTTCAAAATGAACCTGGGGCTTACTATAATGGGGGTGATCATTCAGTTATCTTTGACTTTGTGGATATTAATGGTGTGAACATAGAAACCCTAAATAGCTTCATGGACGAGGCTGTTGGAAAAGGAAAAGAGACGAAGCATTACATATTGTCTGCCAATATTTGTAAGGGAATTTTCAAAGATGAGGATGCTAGATCTTGGTTTTTTAAGCATCAGGCTCTAAGGGAGATAGAAATTTATGTAGATGTGATACCAAGTGATGATGCAATTAATGGTGAAGACTCTTTTCAAAAGAACTCTCCTGAAATGCAATTAATGGTGAAGACTCTTTTCAAAAGAACTCTCCTGAAAACTCTCCTAATTTTGATTACAATGTAAAAACTAACCAAAGTGAAGATGATGAGCTGTTTGAGAAAAATGTTTATCTTACTGTGGACACAATAAATCAGTTGTCAGAAGCATCTCTTGAAAAAGATGGTGGAGAAACATTTGTTTAGAAAGAGTGTGATGAAGCCTCTGTTCAAACGAACTCTGCTGATAACTCTCTTGATTCTGATTACAATGTGAAAACTAAGCAAAGTTATGATGATGATGATCAGTCTGAGAATAATGTTGATCTTAGTGTAGACACAACAAATTAGCTTCACAAGTATCTTGTTTAATGAAATTGGACAATGATGATGATATGTTTAAGCCTTAAAAAAAAAACAGAGAAAAAAAAACCCAAGGGGCGAGGGGGGATTAAGGTTGGATCCCCAACCTCTATATAATCAAGACCCTAAATGGACCGAAAAATCACATGTCTACACAAGTGCAACTAAAAACCAAAAGCAAAAAATGAAAAAAAAAAAATGAAAAAGACAACATCCAAAAGAAAAAAGTCTGGACCTAGGTGGCAGGTGCCCAAGCAAACAGTCTCCTCTACAAAAGGGGGGAGGGGATTAAGGTCGGATCCCCAACCTTATTATAATAAAGACCCTAAATGGGCCGATAAANAGAACCTGGGCTGACAGGTGGCCAGGCAGGCAGTCTGCTCCACAAAGCACACGATCTACGAAGACATGGCCCAAACTCGGTTGAAGCACAAAATACAAGACTTCTACTAAAATCTAAACGTAGCCCATCTGGTCCATCTCCACATGAGTATGAAGGCGGAGAGGGGCGTCATCCAGGTGGAAGGTGCACCTAAGTGGGGTAGAGGCACCAAGCCGGTGAATTGAGAGACAGAGAGTGACAGGCGGGCGGGCTTTGAGTGGCCATGAGCGAGGCAGAGTGCAAGTAGGGTTTGAAAATCAAGAGAGAGAGAGAGAGAGAGAGAGAGAGAGAGAGAGTCAGGCAGGTTAACTAGTGAAGTGAAGTCGAAGAGGGATTTTTTGTGCAGTTCAGTTAAAACTGCAATCTTCGAACATAAAATCGAATTGCACTAAACTTTTTGCATTTTTTCAAAATCAAAACCGCACGCAAGCCAAATTCTTCATAAATTGAACTACACCCCACCAAATACATCAGTTTAACTCAATTTTTTCTATGTCGGTGCGGTTTTACATCTTTTTTATGGTAAAAATGCTTGTTGGGAAACTCCCAGCTCCAAATTTTTCAAGAAGGAGCCTCTCTCTAAAATCCAATTTGCCCAAGCTGGCCTTTTCTTCGTCGTTGCCTCCCCTCCAACGGACTTTCGCCCCCTGCTGTTCTGATTCTTTTCCTGGGCCGTTGGCGCGACACTTGGCGGGCTGAATGTCCCTGCTGCTGCGGCGCTTCACCTTTTTCCGGTCGGCCGTGGCGGGTGGATGAGACATTTGGCTCGTGGGCGTCATTGTTGTGGATGACTTCAGTTGCTGTGCGGTTGCGGCTGGGGTCGAGACGAGTTTTTAGCTTCGTCCTCCGTTCTTCTTCTCGTCCTGGTGCTGGGCTTGGAGGGGTACTCCAGTGGCGGCTCCCGGTGAGGTTCGAGCGGGTTCGCAGCCTTCGGGATGAGTTGGTGGTGGAGCTGATCGCGGGTCTGCAGGACTTTACCGGTCGTGGCCACTCGGTAGATCGTCGGTCTTGTCGGCTTAGTGTGGGCGGTGGACTGGCTTCAGTGTCGGGGTGGTCGCCTGGATCTTGACTCGAGTGGTGAGGGTCCAGAATGCCTTCGGTTGGTGGGGAGGGTCGTAGTCTTCTTGGTTTTTTCTTTAGTGTTTATTCTTTTTGTGTGTTGTAGATTTTTTGGTTGTGTTTTTCTCCAGTTGAAAGCATGTTTTCTCCTATTGGAATGTGTTTTCTCTAATTGTGGGAGCGTGTTTTTCTCCACTTGTGGGAGCGTGTATTTTCCCCACTAGTGGGAGTTATAGTTTGTGTTGTGGGTGTATTGTTATGTGTTTCTAGTGCAGGCTCTAGCGACTTCCGGGTCTGTCCTCTCACTAAACTCAACTTTATAGCTACATCTCTCAGTTGTCTAATTGGCTCTAGATGTAATTATGTGTTTTTTTATAAAATTTATGTCGTTTCGAACAAAAAAATCTCATTATCTTTTGTACAAAAAAAAAAATGGAAAACCAAACATACAAATATCTTCTTTTAATCTATAGGTAATATCTCATAACTCTAAAGTCTAATCTCATTATTATCAACGAAATCTATATAAATATCTTCTTTTAACATGTGTTCTATAATCTATAATCTATCTATATATATATATATATATATATATATATATAACTACTAGCTAATGCATTTAATAAAACATTTAATAAAATCTATTTTCATTTTCCTTCAAAAGAAGTTATATTTTTTTTAATTAATTACTCACTAATCTGCTAAAATCGTTACACCTTAACTAGTACGTACCCCGTGCAGTGCACGGAACATATATATTGAATGAGTTATTTTAACATGCTCTGTCTGTTTAAGTCTAAAACGTAAAAGGTTATCATCAATTTTTTAGAAAAAACAATAGATTGGTAAACAAAGAATTGATAAACATTACCAAATTTATTATCACACGATCTAAAATAAAAATATGCACACTTAATAGATCTTAGCCAGAATTTTTAAATAATAAAATGAATTAAATCAAAAATTTAAGGCAGTATTTAATGTTGTATGATTTTTTAAAGAATAAAATAAAAAAAATAATAAAACTTACTATTTATGGACTACATTAAATGTTGGCCTATTTTTTTGCTACTATTTTTGGTAAATGGTTATTCTTATTATATATACTAGTACAATACTCGTGCGATGCACGAGAGCATTTATTACCTATTTGCTTTTTAAAAGGTATTTTTGTATTTAAATTATCTCATGGCATTAAAAATATCATGAAAGTGAAATTTATATGTTATTAAACATTTCTCTGTGTACAACATTCTTGATTTGATTCTTTGGCACGTAAAGTAAAACATAGGTGTTCGAATTTTATCTAAAATTGCGTATTATTAGTTATTAGTTAACAAATTTTTTAAAAAATTAAAGGATCTTATTTATTAAACAAAATTCTAGTAGAAAAAAAGTAGAATTTTTTAAAAGATTTTCACGCCATTATTTTTTTCAATTCTAATTCTAAATTTTAATTAAAAAAATTGAAAAGAATCATTAGTTACTCCTGAAAATGAAACTACCAATAAACAGATTTTTTTTTCAAACAAATTGATCTGAATATTTTTTTTAAACCAAATGAAAAAATCATCAATTTTTCCTTAAAATGCAACCGAATTTTTCTAACATTGCACCGATTTTTTTACCAAACAAATTGAATTGAAAATAATTCTAATAAAAAAATTGAAATAATTTGTTAAGGTTTATGCAACTGTCTCTTTCCTAAAGAAAATGATATGAATTTAACAAAAAAAAAATGATATGAACTTACCAAAATTTCGGTAAAACATGGTTAAGAAAAAACATAAGAATCTAAAAAAATCGATGCATTTAAATTTTGTAAAGTTGCACACAATTTTTCCTAAATAATTGGATATGGTGACTTTAAAAATCAAAGATGAACCGCTTTTGTTATCAAAAAATGTGGACACAAGTTTGAATGTACATCCCGTCCAATATCAATTTTATTTTAAAATAAAAATTGCATGTGGTTTTATCCAATTTGCACATATTTTTTGAAAAAAAAAATTATTCAATCTTATTGGTAGAATTGGTTAAGAATTATATAACTATTTGTTTCCTAAATTTGTATCTAATTTGCACGGTTTTTAAATTAATTTATATTTAGAATTGTTTTCATAAATAATTGACACATTTTTTGTATCAGAATCTCCAAATTTGTTACCAAAAAAATGTGATTTAAATTTTGGTAAAAAAATAATATATGATACGAAAAAAATGGAATTCAAATTTTGCCATAAGAATCTCCAAATTTGTAACCAACAAAATGGGATTCAGATTTTGTTAATAAAGGTTCACATGTGTTTTTTTGCAATTTCCATTAATAGTAAGTCAAACATTATATTTATTTGGTCAAACTTTCTATTAATGTATTTTTCCAACAACCTCTTTATATATATATATATAGATATAGATATATAGATTTTTATTATTTATTTTTTGGATCAGTTACTAAATTAATTCTAAATTTAGTAGCAAAATATTCAAATGTGTAACGGCTAATGTTGGAACTTAAAGTTGATTGGATTCAGAACTGTAACCGCTATATTTGGTTGCATTGTTGGAAGAAAAGTATGATTGGCACATATTGTTTTTTCTAAAAATCAGAAACACAAATAATTTTTTTTATTTATGTTAATTTTCTTAATATATGCCAATTCATATTATTAATTTAAACATTGCATGGTTAAAATAAAATCTAAATCTCAATTAATTTTGAATGATAAAAATAACCTAAGAAAAAGTAATAAGTTTCATATGATAAAAGTACATTAGTAATTAATAAATATAAATAAAAACGTGTTTTATATCTGTGAATACTAGTTATCTTCTAATGTGTTGTTATAATATGATATTATTCTCCATAGGACTTTGGTGTTTGNACAACTTGAGACCTGCCCGAAAAAAATAAATAAATAAGTAAATACAAAGTCAAATTTAATCGATACCAAAGCCCAAAGAACTGCAAACTTTATTTAGCATTACTGAATGAAAAACCAGAAAATCATCCCAATAAAAGGATACAATACATGATGTCTGACTTTATACTATCAAACAGCTAGCTAACTTAAGCGGAAATACAAATTAAAGAATAAGATTCACCACCTAAAAGGTAACAGCTGATCAAAGGTCGAAACAACTAAAAAGATTTGAAAACAATATATCGATTACTTGATAAAGGAAACAAAAAAGGCTCACCACGCTCGCGCGGTCCATAAGTCTCCTATCATTACAGACATCCTAAAAGTAAAACACTAAAACATACAGAATAACATAAGAAACTTTGGGGTCGAAAATCATTATAGATCATAGTCTTCACACAATAACCATCACCCAAATTCACACACCTATAAGCAACTCAAGCAGCAGCTTGAACCGGCCCATTAGATCTAAATCCACGACCCCTGCCACGTGGGCCCCTTCCACGGCCACGACCTGAAGCACAGTGTTTTTCAGTACCACAATAATACATGATACACTACAGCTAAGAAAAATCATAATTCCAGATTTATAGATATGGTAAAAGAAGGCAATGGTTCACAAAGTCGATGACGAATAAAATTAAAATAAAAAAAAAAATACCCTTCAGATTGAGTGAATCAAGTAAAAACAAAATAATCTTTAAAATATATACAACAAAAAAATGGTATCTTTTATACTTCACCATAATTAATAACATATTTCTGTACAAGCAAAGGATTACAGAATATTTATTTTCTATATCAACCGTAAATGCCTATGACTTCTCTCAAAACAAAGTCAATCCCAACGACTTTCAACAAACAAAATAGTTCACGCATAAACGAACCATACTCTGTCGTATTGACCTACTGTTCTACTTTCCTGACTAAGTGGAAGCATGCAAATAAATAAAAAAAAAAAAAACAAAAAAAAAAAAACAAAATGTGTGCCGTATTGCAAGAGAAAAGCAAAAGCAATACCTCGAGGTGCATCTTGATTGTAAGCTCCAGCATCGTCCACTTGAGGAGGAGGAGGAGCACCGTAGCCTCCCCGTCCACGCCCACGGAAGCTGCGAGCCCTGCCTCTTCCCCTGCCACCCCTCCCATATCCACGATTTCTCTCATACCCTCCATCTTCATACTCCCCAGATGCAAAACCGTTGCCTATTCAAACCATTAGAAAAATGAAGTCTATTAATATTAATACATCAAATGTTTCAAAAAGGCTAAGTTTTGCCATGAAACAAAAAATATTTGATCAAAATTAATACCAGATTGGGCTCTTGGCCTTCCCCTTCTTCCACCCCGACCTCTTCCTCGCACGGAAGGTGACCCCTCTGCACGAATATAGATTACAATATGATGGAAAACGAGACCTTGCTGGAATATATGAAGGATAAGAATTATTAAAAATAAATAAATTACGACCTCCATCATAGTCGACCTCTGTAGCGACTTTGACCTGGTCAGCTGGTATCGGAGGTTGGTACCTAGATCATATAACAATCCCCATCGATAATGAATAATCACACCCGCATGGATAGGTACTTGCACATAAATGCAATAAGCGAACCAGCTCACAATTTAAAAACAGAACGACTTAAGAAATTAAAAAGGAAAAAGGTTTTAATTACTACACAACCAATCAAACTTTTTTCATATTCTTCCTCAAAAGTTAACATAGGACAACACCAGCGGTCTGGCCAAGTCCCATTAATTGATCATAACGATATAGTGGAAATGCTGCACGGAGGCACAAAATGCATATTAACTCACCCAATATTTGCCTTGTCTAGCTCCTTCTTAGATAGAGTGATTGTGACCATCGAGACTTTCCTTGTGGTTTCCAAACTGTCAAAATGAACAAATGCAATGTCAGTGCATTTAATTTAACTGCAAAGTTGACATAATTTTTTGTAAATTCAAATTCTCTTACGTCTGGAGCCCTTCTTCCAGGGGTTCCCAGGTATCGGTTATATCAGTGGATTGAATCGCTGTGATTTGGTGGAGACCAACAATTCTCCTCTAAGATAAAGGGAAAAAGGAAGACAAAGATATACCTTAAGGCAGCCATTAAACCAAAATAATGATGTCCAATGCTATAAGAAACACCGAAATAACCTTGATTAGCTCCACAATTGTGACAGTTTTATTGATGGCTCTGCCCATTGCCTTAAACACAATATCATCCGAACCCTTTTCCTACCGAATGGTGCAAGAAGAAATCAATTCCTTTGAAAATATTTCGCTCCACATAATCAAACATAAAATCAAATTCATTGTTCACTAATCTTAAAATCAACTTATGAATCAGTATGATAATTACAAGTCTCATCTAATCCAAGACAATAAATTAAACGGACAAAATACTACAAACAAAAGTTTCTCCACATACCACATCATGTCAGTTTATGAATGGTTCAATACAAGCTACCTAATTGATAAACATGCATTTGGTGGAGATTTCTTATCAACAGATCAGAATTCGCAAACAAAATACAACAATCTAACGGAAAATATATCATCAATTCTTAACAAGAAATCTATTGCACAAGACTTGATTGACTAATAACAGCGTTCTTTAAACTACCACACATAATAGTTGAAATGTAGTAATTTTTTTCTTCTTCTATTCAGTGTTATCCTCCAGAAAGTATCTAACACTGGACTGTTGGAGAATCTAACTGAAAAATCAGAAATGAGCCAGTTATCCTGATATCTCTTTATACAGAAATCAATTCAACAAGCACGTGTATGAAATTCTTAAATCGCCTGCTAAACCACCTAACAACTCAATCTAGACTTTCTACACATCAAATGAACGCAGGATCAAGTTTTTATACATTTGGGGACAATGTGCGAGTGCGTCTCGAGCATAAAAACTACAAATATTTAATATTATTGAACAAAATGCAATGAGTAAATGAATATATACCTGAAGCAAAGTCAGGGCATAGGTTATGTAGCTCCTCATCCTGCCCTGGCTTGTAATACGAATCTCATTTTCATCAATCGGTGTTTCAGCTTTTGGCTTCTCCACCTTCTGGTACCGATCCATGCTCTACTAAAATTACAAACTAATAATTTATACATATAAAAAAAGAAAAGAAATCGCAGAACAAATTCACAAAACGTAGCAAACATACTTATATTCCGCAATCAAATTAATGAATACATAAAAATTACATAAATACATAATTCATTTTTAATAATATACACAAAAAAAGGAACTTCGCCTATAGACATATGAGAAAATAGATTTGAGATTCACTCAATTCAACGGGAAATCGAATAACCAATATTCCAGAAATGGATACCTTGGCGCTATGTGTATCTGCGTAAAAATATCCTTTCAGCCCTCTTCTCCGGCTTCGTTTTTCGTTAGAGCCCTAACCGCTCCCCCGAGTGCCTCTCAGCTATTTAAGGTCCGCTATCCATCTTGCCCTAGTTGCTTTTACCGGTTGAGAGAGTGGCCAGTTTTTTGTTTTTCTAACTCTAGATTATGGGGCAGTTTATATATTTAAAAATAAAAAAATAATAAGTGGACAAAAAACAAAAAAAAAAGGGGGGAGTGGACCAACATAGAAAGCACGTATTTTGTAAATACGTTTTCTGTGTAATTTAATTAAAAAACGTATTTAAGGAATACGTTTTTTACATTTTTTTTACAAAGGAAACCGTATTCACGGAATACGTTTTACAAATAAAAAAATCAAAAGCCGTATTCAGCAAATACGGGCTTTTGATTCTTGTCCACCCCCTTTTTTCTTTTTCTTTTTTTGTCCACCACTTGTCTTCTTTTTTTTTCCCGTAAAAGAATCCTAGATTATGCCCTTGTTGAGTAAATGCTTTTTTAAATTGTTTTTCTAACTCTAGATTATGCCCTTGTTGAGTAAATGCTTTTTTAAATCGATCACTAATGTCATCTCCTCTTAATATAATTTGAAAACGTGTTGAGCCTAATTGGTAAATGCTTTTTTAAATCGATCACTAATGTCATCTCCTCTTAATATAATTTGAAAACGTGTTGAGCCTAATTGGTTGCTTCACACGCTTCAGAAGTTTATTTGGCAACATTTTTGGTTCGGATACATTCCCTAATTGTTTAAAATAAAATACTTAATAAATAAGATTTTTATATGTTGTGTAAATCCTCCAACTCCAAATCAGGATTTTCTTTATCTTATAAGACTTCCCAAATAAATTCGATTCTTATATGCCGTGTAAATCCTCCAACTCTAAATTCCGTGTTGAGCCTAATTGGTTGCTTCGCACGCTTCAGAAGTTTATTTGGCAACATTACATGCTTCGGCTTTTGGTTCGGATACATTCCCTAATTGTTTAAAATAAAATACTTAATAAATAAGATTTTTATATGTTGTGTAAATCCTCCAACTCCAAATCAAATAGGATTTTCTTTATCTTATAAGACTTCCCAAATAAATTGGATTCTTATATGCCGTGTAAATCTCCAACTCTAAATTCTTATCGTATAAAGCTTACTTGACAACATTACATATAAAAAAATTAGCCTTATATATTATTTTATTTATATAATTAATGTAAATAATAACTTTTTTATATAGTTTAAATTAAAAAAAAAATACGATAATTTTACAAAAAAATATATAGTCACTTGCATATTATATCTTTTCAAATAAATTATTTAAATCTTTTTAGAATATCTATAAAAATACATTGAAATAGTTATAGAATATTATATGATCTTTCTAATATATTTTAAAGAGTTGAATTAGTTATACAACAACATATGTGTTTTTTTATTATTTTATATTTTATATTTTTTTTTCAAACAACCCGTGTAGTACACGGGTGTCGTACTAGTATTGTTTATTTGGAGATATATAACACGGAGAAAGAAAATTAAAAAACTGTGTATTCAATAATTAATATTAATTGTTGTATAATTTAATATGTGTAAGATTATTATTGTTTGGAGAAGAGAAAGACATTTAACAATTAGTATTATATATAGTAGAGAATGTTTAGAAATATTTATATATCTAGAAAGATTTCTAGACATTTTCAACTTCACATAGGATATATGGACCACATTGCACTAAATTTAAACCACACTAAGTGCGAAATAAATTATGAGATTAGATGTGACATACAGACTGATGAAAATAATGAATAAAGTGCTAAATATTTATGCGATAAACTATGCGACATACAGACGAAAATAATTAATAAAGTGCAAAAAAACTTGTGCGATAAACTAACTATGAGACAGATAGTTGAAAAGAACTGATAAAGTGAGAAACAAATTATGCCACATAAGGACGAAGATGTTTTTTTTTCATGTTTTCAACGTCAAATGAGAATTTTGATGGAAAGTGAATTGTAGGTAAATAGTTTCTTATTATTGAACTCATACAAGCCAATATTGATGCTACTGTTTAGCTAACGAGGATTCTCATTTTTATAATCAAATTTTCGCTTATTATATGAAATATTTTGCTCTACTTGCTAACTAAAGGATCTAAAACAGCTCTCCATGTGCTATAGTTCTGAGCTGATCCAGGTTCTGCAAATATAAACCCATTAACAAAGAACTGCGGTGTCCCATAGACTCCTCGTATGCCACCTTGCTGCAAAAACAATTGAGATCAACACGGCGTTAGTGTTTGTTGTAATAATTATTATTTAGGAATAGGATAACCTATAAATAGTAGGGTTTGTTTTGCTCTATATACATATATAAATAGGGTTGGTTCAAATAAAAACTAATACTGGTGTAATAACCGTGAGAACCATATTTGATGCTACATTCAATTGTGTATGATGTTATTTTTAATCTTACATGGTACTATCATTTTTGCAAATGCTAACATAAATTGTGTTGATATTTTTGGTAAAATACATTCTGATTAACAATAGCATTAAAATGCAACTGTTCTCACATTAGGATTTGGTTTTCATTTGAACCACATTATATATATATATATATATATATATAT